CACAGTATCTACTCAGTAAGAAAATGAACTGATTAAATGCTGCTCATGCATGGCTGGAGGCTGAGGTCAGTTTAAAGTGATGTCACTACAGAGATATTTCCATCACACATCCTGATGCTCTCTAAGAACTGATGAGGCAGCTTAAAGTTTCAGTCTAAAACAAGACTTTAATTTAGGACGGTTTGAAGCACCCGGGCTGGATACAGCAGCTGTGAAAGGAAGAAGAATTTGTGATCATCATCAGCTGGAAATTAAACTGTGTTGGAACTTCATGTGAAGCTGTCTGTTCTTTCCTGTCCTCATATGTGTCATGGCTCACTTGTTGTACGGTCAACAAATATGCATCATCAGGGTCACATTTGTGGAGGGTGGTGTCATTTAGTGAACTGACCATTAAACATGATATGTGTTAATATTATAATAATACAGTCAATTCAGCATGGCAGTGTGTGTTTTATTAGGATTAGGAAAGCTTCAGTGATCTATGTGGTTATTAAAGAAACCCTGCTCACTGTGGTGTATTGTGTTTATCATTTAATCTGTCAGACTTCAGCATTATCCAGTTTATTTTTAAAGCTAATAACACAACTTAATCTGTAAACGAGTTAAAGATCACACTCACCAACAACTTTACAGTCTTACCCTGATCTCATTAATGCAAATATCTATCACATGGCAGCAACTCGGTGTATTTAGGCATGTGGACATGGTCAACCTGCTGAAACTCATCCAAGCATCAGAATGGGGATGAAAGGTGATTGAACTTTGAACATGTTTGTTGGTGCCAGGCAAACTGATCGGACCTCACAGGGTTTTCAAACACAACCATCTCCAGGATTTACAGAGAATGATGCTGTCAGCTAAGAACAGGACACTATTCACACAGGCTCACTGAAACTGGTCTGATAAGTTGTTATTTCTGGGGCGACACTCATATGGTAGCAACATGATGTAAACAAGATGAAGGCGTGGATCCATCCTGCCTTGTATCCACAGCTCAGGCTGCAGGTGGTGCTGATGGTGTGGGGAATATTTTCTTGGCACATTTTTTTATGAACTGAGCATCATTTAAATATTACAGCCTACCTGAGTATTGTTGCTGCCCATCTCCATCCCAGCATGGCCACACTGCACCCGTCTTCTGATGACTGCTTCCACCAAGATAACGCGCCACGTCAAAAAACTCAAATAATCTCAAAGTAGTTTCTCAAACATGACAATGAGTTGACTGTTATTAACCCCGATTCTTTTGTCTCGCAGTGTGTGGGCTTGAAATCTCCAGCAAACACAGGCCCAACTCAGCTGTTTCTTCTTCTCTGTTTCTTCTTTGTTGGTCTTTTCAGTCTTTTCCTTTAGGTTAACTCCCAGCACGGCAAATATCACGTCCAGTGCCTTCAAACAGTCATGTCACTTGTCAGGTTTCCAGCTTATAATTCAAAGCTCATGTTCCATCAGCGGTGTTCATACATGCTGCTGCTTGACCCTTCAGTGTTTTAGGTCAGTTGCACTGTCTTTTGCCTGCTGTTAACTCTTCAAGTCCACGATGTTCTGTCTGTCTTCATCAGGAGATCGACTGTCCTTTAAGCTTCTTCTCAGGATGGGGACAGAATGAGAGGTCAAGCTGTCAAATTTTAAGCCAAAGACTGACCTGTTTTCATCCCAATTCTGTTAATCTATCCTCAGTGTTGGGAAGGTTACTTTTAAAATGTATCCCACTACAGATTACAGATTACAGATTACATGCCCCAAAATGTATTCTGTAACGTATTCTGTTACGTTACTCAATGAGAGTAACGTATTCTGAATACTTTGGATTACTTAATATATTATCATGCTGTTTACAACTACATGAATGTACTATT